AAGTATAGTTGAGGTCAATGCTAAAAAATAAGAAATGGCTGTTATTGGTAAAATTGTATTTAGTACTATAGAAATATTTGGAGCACAAGTTTATCGGAACGAAAAACCCGAGAAATCCCAATATTAAAAAACCCGACTTTTGTTGGTTTGGTTTGATCTATAGATTTAAAAACCCGATACAATTGGTTTGATTTAGTAATTGTAAAATCCGAACCAACCCGACCTATGTACACCCGACCTTACGTATAATAAAGTAAAATTCCTGCACAATTTAAGACATGTATTTATTAATTATCACCAAAGGAACACTGCTTTAGTTGTGCAACGACTTTATTATGTGATAAACTAAGATACTTATTAAGGGGACGTTTGGTTGGAAAGAAGTTATTTTAGGATTAATTATCTCGGGATTAATTATTTCGAATTAGTTATTCCACCTTTTCATGGGGATAAAAAAACACTACAATCCTAGAATAATAAATTTCGGGATTAGTTGTACCGTACTTTTCTACCAACAAAACATGGGATAAACTCTTCTTAAATTTATTGCTTGGATTAATTATTCCTTATCCCTTATACCAAACGAGCACTAAAGAATTAATTATGTGCCCTGTGGATGTGTTGCAGTCTGACAGCGAAACTGGGTTAAACTAAGAGGGAGAGCACTAAGAATTTATCAACTCAAATGTCCAACGAACTAAGACGGAAGGACCAATTTATCTCGGTTTCATTTCAATGTTTTTCCCCAAGGTTGTTTGGTGAATAGAGGGGAAGAGTTGAATGACATTTTATCTACATTAGCATGCCGTCATTTGGTTCTTTTTAATCCAAGACAAAGGTGATAACAAATAAGTTGCCTCAAGTCAGGCTTGACATATCAGATAGACACTGATAAATGCTAACTAGAAAATGAATTAGTATCGACATTAGCATCAGAACAACAAACAAATCCTAGCTATTCCAGTCATAAATTACCCCAATCCCAGAGTAAAAAATGTGTTACAGGGCGGCTTGATGTGCCTCCTTTGCTGTCAGGGCCAGTTTTGACCCACAGAGCGTCAACAACTAATTTTGATTAAACTAAACATACACAACTCCGACAATCTAAGGCCTAGCATTCACAATGTGACGACTCAGCAACATTCGTCAACTACCAGCATCCATGCTTTGTCAGGTTCAGCTAAATGTTCAAGACTTCCTCGAGTCGTAAAATTTCACTGTGCAAATGGTACACGAACAAAGAGCCGTCCATGAAGACTTACAACAGCAGAAGTCTGGAGTGGATCGATTCTAGCAGGTAGGCTTACTACCTGAGAAAACCAACCCAAGTCATAAAAAAGAACACTTGGCAGTACAAGTATTTACATGTCAATGAATAATTCAGATTCACAAGACCAATACTATTTTAACTGGCCTATATCAATATATAGCAACTGAACAACCAGAATAATTTCAGGATAACGGAGATCAGAAGGGCTATTTCCAGTAATACTTAGATGAAAAATCATACTTCATCCACCTAGAGATCTGACAGCCACTGACTTCAAAGATAAACAGAAAATGTACCTACTGTTACTATTGCTCCCATGCCAATAAAAAGGATTAGTAAAATTAAAAAAGATTACTCTTGCAGTGAACATGACACTCACACAGTAAGATAGATGGGAGGTTAGTTTTCAGTTTATGAATTGGAATTTCATTTAGCTTATTTGTGCTCCCAGAATAAATAAATAGCTCTCCTATCGATGAAACATTTGAGACTCCATTCAAAGAAATATTAATTGAGAAACTTGAACACGGGAAAATTTCCCATCTTCTCATGGCACTAAGCACACTAGATTCTCTTTTCCTAGAAAACCATCAGTTCCAGCACATGCAACATATGACGCAAAAGCATGATAGATATAGATCGTGGATCACTGAATGCCTCTGTTAAAGTCAACATTAATAAAATAGCAAAATGTACCTTTTTGAAGGCGGTAATACCCCAAGGGTTGTCAAGTTGCTCTGGCTGACCAGTTATGACCAGACGGCCAGCAGGATCAGACTGAACCCGCACCTGGTCACACAATAAATAAGGAATGAAAACTTTTAGATCATTATCAACTAGAATCTAATAATGACTCAGATCAATCAATAGCCGCTCATTATTATGTCCTTGGAACGTAACATGTAAACAGAGGGAAAATGAAATACACTGTAACAAGATTATTCAGCCCAATTCTAAATTGAAAAAGGGAAGCAATAGTAGATTACCATATCCCAAATTAACATCTTAAACCTGTCAAAGTTTGAATAGTTTAGTGAAATTAAAGCTAAAATTGCATTAGCCATATATTATATTCCAACCATATATTATATTCCACAAATTGCCTGGTGCAAAACCAAAAATTTCTTATAGTAAAGTCACCAACTTCAATGAAACCTTGAAAATATCTCTCTTTAATTTCTTTCACTGTTGAACAACTGCATAACGTGAAATGAGGGTCTTATCAAGCAATAATATGTAAGTAACTTCCCTGCTCCTTTGCTTAATCCATCCCTTGATGCAATCGGGTAAAACAGAAACAGCTCTACGCCTACAAAAACCAAGCCTCTGATTCTCATATACAAAAACCAAAGCCCAAAAAATGGAAGAAAAAGAGCCCAATGGGATTTATTAGGTGAAGGGCTTGAGGATGATGTGCACATGATGTGAAAAGATTTGGTCACAAATGAGTCTTCTTTTTGTGTAGCATAGAGTCAAAGTACACAGGCTACCGTTTTGTTCAGGACCTAATTCCTTCCCAAAATTAAGCTATTCTCCTCCCCTGAGTTTTATCAGTTTAAGAAGTTGTGTCACCCTTATAACTAAACGGAGCTTGCAATGAAGGTCTAGCACACATATTAGTCAGAAGCATAGGTCTAGCATGCATTCCTTACAAATTAGGAATTCATTTTAAGTTGTTCCGACTGACATGGGGTTTCCATCAAAAGAGATGGTATTCAATCTAATCCTGAGATTCATATGTTTTAAAAAACTATCATAAAGCTGACATTTGTACACTTTTACTTGATCCCCCACCCCCCACCCCCACCCAAAAAAAAAAAGATGACATTTGTACACAATAAAACATAACAAAAGAGTGAAATGTACTTGAAGAAAACACGGGGCACAAGAGGTACATACCTCCTCTCTCAAAAGCCCAGGCACCAAAGCATAGACTTCAAAGCAATCTTTCTGTTTGCGAAGGATCCTTACGAGTCAATGGGAGAGAGTACATGCATAAACTAGAAATACTTGGAATCTGAGTGGAACTTACTGTTTCTCGCACATTGATTTTTACCCAATCAGCTGGAGGTCCCAAATCAACAACTGTTGTGACCAGCCTGGCAAATGAAATTAATTTAGTTTCAAAACAGAACAAGAGGACAGAGGAAAAGAAATGGCAGAGCAGTACTGCTCAATCAACAGCATAATCCATTTACAACCCACTTTTCCAAGAAAAGAAATAGGAGCATATTATTCATATGCCACAGGAAGCATAGTCAATTTTGAGACAGCAAGCACCATGCTGATTGTAAGGTTGAGTTGATCTTTACAGTAAGTGAAGCTTAGTGTAAAGTACAAATTGTTTAAGAGAAACTTCATAATATAAGACATCATCAGTCATGAATAAGCTCCCTAACACCATGACCAATAGAAGAAAGTCAAGAAACGAGCAGTGCTTGGATTACAATTTGTGAGATAACATGGAGATGGCGAGTGCTAACATGATATTCACCTTAGCTAGACAACTTCTCAGGAGGAAGCAGACAAGGGGTAGACAAACGATGCTAAGTCTTATAGGATTTATCTTAAGCCTTAAAAAGAATGCTGCTATGTTCGAGAATCATTCACTCCCTGCAGGAGAACACAGTACCCTCTTTCTGATTCATTCAGTCAATGTTGAAAATAACTCAAACCAAACCTTCCAATAGAGCTTTTCTTTTTTCAAAATAAAACAAGCCATATCATCAGTCAGGTATTGTGACTTCGTTGATGGATAAGCTTTCTGTCAAGGTCATAATGAGAAAAAAGAGGAAATCATCTCTTAATAGGGTGTGAAAGCACTGAAGGGACAGTTTTGCAGTTCCATGGATTAACAGACCAATGTTAAGCATTTTCTTAAGCAAGCTCCTGGCAACAGCTTACTAAAGTCTAATGGTCAACTAAAAACTCAGAGACCCTTGCTTTTGCAGAAAGCTAAAAGTTGATAATTAACATGGTAGATCTTGGGAGAATACCTAGAAAATGGTTGAACCATCAAGGTGCGAACGTTAGATATGCACCACTGGTAGAGTCGGCAGAAAGCAGGTTGTCGGAATTAGTAGGGGTTTAGTATACAATGAAGAACTCTACAGGTACGCCTTTGCTAATTCTAGAGATTAGTGTGCTAGCAAGTTCCTGGCAGCAGCTTACTATAGTCTAACAGTTAACTAAAAAATCCGAGACCCTCGCTTTTGCAGAAAGCTAAAATTAGATAATTCACATGGTAGCTCTTGGGAGAATACCTAGAAAGTGCTCGAATCATCATGGTGCAAAAGTTAGATATGTACCACTTGTAGAGTCCGCAGAACGCAGGTTGCGGGAATTAATAGGGGTCTGGTATAAAATGAAGAATTCTACAGGTACGACTTTGCTAATTCTAGAGATTAGTGTGCTAGCAAGCAGTTTAAAGAGGGTTACTCCTTTAAGATGGGAGGACAACATTTTTGTATAATTTTCTCCACCTTGGTATTTCTCTTCCCTATGTACACCCCTATGATCTAGCCATGTTCTCACGCTTTTTTATCTGTCTATGACCCCACTAAAATAGAGAATTTGAGCATCCTTTAAGAGCAAAATAGAACAGATATTGGTTGTACAACTTAGGAAAGTAGGCCTGTCACCCATAACCTACGTAACTACAGTCCACAACCTAATATAACACTACAAAGATTGTATATAAATATACCAAACTACAAAATCAAATCTAAGAAGCCACTGATAATCAACTTTACCCATAAAAAGAACTATGTGGGATCGACACATCAGGTGCAACGATATGACAACTGAGCAAATCAAACACGTCCGGATGCTCCAAGGACAAAGTTGATAATTGAAATCTTTTACAACCCAAAAAATAATAAAAGAACATGCATGGAGATGAAACCAAGTAACCAACATATAGCAAATTGCAAATTATGGAGTTTGAGTAGCTACATCAAACTAAGATATTTAAACCAAGCGAGTTCCAACAAGATAAACTAATTTTGACTAAGAAAAATGTTAGATGAGAGGATCAACACAAATAGAACTTAACTGCTTAGATGTTTCAGTTCGTGCCGCTTTCGCAGGATTTTCCACTTCATTTGGTCTCTTGTGTTTAAGAGAACCTGAATGCAAATATAAGATCAGAATTATGTGACTTCCCAAAAAATGAATATCATCAGTTCTCTCATACTCCCTGTATCTGACAGATGCCTACAAGTAATATTATGTCCTTTATAGCCACTACCAGCCACGATATGCTGAATATGACACTTCAGAATGAAATATCATAACCAAAAACGAGCTACGCCAACAGAAATATGAAGGGTTAAGTTTGGTAAAGAAACCAGAAAGAACATTACCAATGCTTTTGAGATTCTTCTCACGCTTTGGCGTACTGTTGGCATTTTTGTCCTATCAGGAGATTCGTAACAAAATTACATATCAAGAGACATGGTCAAAGGTAAACATGAAGAAAAAATGTTTCTAAGAGTTCTATAATTTCAGCTACAATTGGCTCGCCAACCTCGCCACAACCAAGAAGACGTTGCTCATGCCATCCTTGCATAGCACGAGCAGCAGCATCTCTTCTCGCCCTGCCTGATCCAGGAGTTTGATAAGCATTTCCCTGCAGAATTACTCCAGATGGTTCACTTTATACATCAAAATATGCCTAACAGGGCCCACTGGTTTGATTAATACGGAGAAAGATAATATACATGAAACTATCTCTATCAAAACAGCTAAACAAAGCTATTCATACTGACTCATCAATGCTTTTTNTCACAAATAGTTGTCCGAAGTTTCTAAAGAAAAAAAGTAGATAGCTATACCAAGAAAAAAAACCTATAAAAATTAGCATGAATGAGAATAAAGAATAGCTAGAGCATCTAGCAAGATACTCTTTCTCGGAATTTTTTTTATATCAGTAGATGTTCTTTCTAGAAAATTGGAAAACCAATAGTATTCAAGTTAGGATCACAAAAGCAACAAGATTTATTTTCGTAGAGGTCCCACGTTCTTACCTGGGAGTTCGACACTAAGCTGTGGAGCATGACTCAGTTGGGCCAAAAGGAATTTATATCTTAATAAGTTTTTAACTAATTATATATTGAATAATCTAACATGAACAGTCTATCATCCAACTATATATGACATACTTTATGCTCAGACAATAAGGCACATTCCAAGATATTGCACTGTCTATTGCCTCATTTAAAACCAGATTTATAGAAAAAGCATACATCTCTGACTTTGCATATTTGAAGCTAAGACACTAATGCCACTCCAAGGAATGTGTTCTCCAATCCCTTGTAGAACACAAGCCAAGACTTTTTAATGCTGATACTGCAATCTGTTATTCTCAGTTATCAATTAAAACAACCCGCAAGATTTATCTTTAAAATTAAAGGAGAAAAAAAAAAAAGGCAGGCTAGCAATCTCCTGTCAATGTTAAGTGTGTGAATCTTCAAGGGAAGACGTTCCGATATGCTTAACTTTTTAGTTTTTATTTCTGCATCCCCAACGACTCGGTAGGCTTGGTGGATATTTTTGATAACCTAGAGGTTGTGCATATTCGCTTGCCCTTTTGGAGTAAAATGGGTAACGCCAAGCAACTTAAATGAGGCCATTAGCAGTTCGAGAGGATAGAATGAAAAGGCAGCTCAAGGTCCTACGGAGTACAATCTGAATGTGCATGGCATGGACAGTGTAGAAAAATCAAACCTTAGATGTTTTGAAGGAAAAGCAGTAGCAGTTCTTGGATAAAATATAAACGTCCTCAGTTTTTGACTTGGTGTAATATGAAAAATATATCGTTGGGGTGCGGCCCTTCCCTGGACACTACGTGAACGCGAGTTGCTTTGTGCACCTAACTGCCCTTTTTAGAAACAGGTTGGGCCTTATGACTCCTTGCAATAGATAGAATCTCTAGTCATTCAGTCTTGTAAGATTTCAGTGCTTAAGTGATGCTGTTTTTTGCAATAGAGTCATTGCCAATTGAAACGCTAGTCAAAGTCAAAAATTCTTTCATGACTCAACAACCCTGCTTTCCTGGTAGATCAATTAGAAGGTGCACAGCTAGTACAAACGAGGAGCGGAATGTAAACACAAGCTTACCTCATTGTCAACACCTGCCTCAGGAAGAGCAGAAATAGGAAGTCGAAGCTTGCCACTTTGCGTCTTATGCCTTTCATATTCTAAAAGGGCCTATGATGCAGAAAGCATTGGATAAGAAAAGAAGGTATAGAAGGTAATTTATTTTTCTTTCTCAAAAAAAAAGGTATAGAAAGTGATAGAAAGAGATAAACAGTTATTCCAGATGACAAAACTAATAAAATTATAAATAAATAAAAAATCAAATATGCAGAGACAAGAAAAGATATTGTTCAATTAAACTTAAATATCCCATATTGGTTTAAAAAAGGCAAGACAATGCAGAATGGCTCCACATATGTTAGCGAGTGATTAAATTCCAAAGAAGCCAAAGGACATTGAGCTGCCTTCCCACAACCATGCCTAATGTCACACCAAAAATGTATAAATATCCTAATGTATTAAAAAGGCAAAGGAACCACAAAATAAAACTAGGAGTAATACCACATTATTCTCCATTTTCACTATCTTAGTTTGAGTAGGCATGCATCTTATCAGAAGTTTTACGTTTATACTGAAGACTAAAGTTAAGTGGATCCAAAATGAGATGAAAAGATTATCCTTAAGTTTGAAATCTTAAAAGAATAAAATCGAGTTCTTTGTAACTCTTGATGAAGTGTAATATTAACAATATTGCCATTTCTCGAAAAAAATATTAAAAATATTATGAGTAGTCAATACTAAAGGTTTCATTTAAAGAAGCTCCGAGAAGCAAGACAATATTGTGGTCAGAGGGAGCAACATTTATAGATCTCGGCGAAAAAATTATCACTGCTATCAAAGCTCCGGCGTCACAAACAAACATTGGAGATTATTTAATGTCCAAAAAAATCGCTTATCACAAGCTATGCAAAATGGACAACAATGGCAAAAATATGCTATTATCTATCAAAGGAACCTGGGTTTAATACCTTCTCATAGAAAATGCGGAATGTCCAGGACACAGTTGTGCAAGTCCTGAAAGAGAAGATAATCATATCCAAAAAGGAAAAAAAAATAAAAATTAGAGATACTACAATAAAAACTGGCAGAAGCTTCTGTTTTGTTCTCTCTTTAAGTTGACCGTCGATCAAGTAACTTCTTATCTTATTTGAGTATCAAAAGAGTTCTGGTCATTGCCACCTCTCAATTTATCCTTGTTAGCTCTCACTCATCTTTTTGGAGACATACAGACATCTATGGTCATTTACGAGGTCTAACTACATGGTGGCTTTAACATAATAACATCCCAACATCTCTAGAAGTTGAGAATCACTACAGGCTTAACAAATATTAGGCTTCAAGTGCCACAGGATTCCAGCACTGATACAGATCAGACACCACTCAAGAGGCACGCATATAGAGCTATTATACTCTTAATTAGACCACACCTATCATTGTCAAATAAGAACAAGAAGTGCTGTATTTAATCAAAAGAAGAACAAGTAGTGTTGTATTTTGGGTTTAATGAGTATTTTCCCCTTTTGGTATATTATATAATATATGTGTTTGCATGGTATCCTCACGTATCACAAGTTTCAAAATTTTCATATTCATGTTCCTCTGATGAAAGACCATAGTCTTTTTTTCTTATGAGGTACAAAAGAAGAGACCATTGTCCTTATCCAGACAACCTAGACTCTGTGATGAAGCAGAAGCTCAGTAACATTTTTTTTAACTTTGTTGAATGTTAATTCAAGTTGATGTCTTGGTCAATTAGAGGAAACCAATAAAAACTTAATCAATTGAGAAATCCTTAATGGTTCTTATCTTCCTGAAAAAGAACAAGAAAGCCAAAAGGCAAAACATCATTATGAATAAAAGTAAATAATTTAAAAGATGACTCTAGTTCTATTTATAAGTAAAAGAATCTAAGCACCCTGATTTTCAAATAATCTATGACTGTAATTCTTGAGTATTGAGTTAAAAGGGAATAAATAACATACAATTCTAAAAAAACATAAAATAAGTCCTAACAAGAAAATAACAAAAAAAGCTACCTAAAGTAAGACCTAACTATTAACCCAATCCCCTCAATAGACTGCCAGAGGACTTCAGCAACACTGACACTACAATAGCAGCACCAACAGTGACTGTACACAATTCTGTGTGAAATGCACCGCCCGCCCTCCAAATAAACAAACATATGGGCCCTCTATTCCAGCATTACTATGTGTTGGGCTGGTCCCAATTCTTGGCCTGAGTTCTATTTCTTTGCCCACAAGACCTGTCTTTATAAATTGCAAATCATTATTATTACTTTTTATACTTTAGCATCTATCCATATGGCGCATGAGTGCCGCTTCCTGAATTATACCTCATAAATAACTATGTTGCTCGGACTCTCCGAAAATATCGCCGGGTGCGTGTCGGATTCTCCAAAAGCAGTGTATTTTTGGAGAATCCGACACGGGTGCAGCAGTATTTTGGAGAGTCCGCGCAACATAGATAAATAATCCTCAGCCAAGTACCTTAAACTTTGGATGAAAATTTTTTATCTCACTCACAAACAAAAATCTAATGTATGATCATCAATGCCTTATCTCCATTTCATACACTAGGGAACTTGACACTTGAAAAGGTAGGGCCACATTCTTCATTGTAAGGGTGGACTATTCATGCTTTAAGTTCAACTCTCATAACGAAATAGGATTCATCAGAAGCTTACTTGGGGGGATTAAACGACTCGCCAACTTGCCGCCACAACTTGGATCCAGTCACCTAAAAATTAAATTAATTTAATACTAAACCATCAAAAATAGCATGATAATCCATTTCAAAACATGAAATTCATCTCTCAGCAGTACAAGATACGCACACAAATCAGCAATTAGTCATTCTAGCAGCAGAAGAAAAAATAAACAACTAGAACCTTTTCATTGAAACCAACTAACATATAAACAGTGTAATTTTAAGATTGAGCAACCCACCTCATGTAAAAGCTTAAACTGCTGGAAAGGGGACACTTTTGACCATTTATTTTAGGCTTACAGAACGGCCCCACATCCTGATTCTTTATCTTGGACTAGGCACATTGAATAATTTTTGTGATAGGTAGGTGGCAATGACTAGACCTTAGCACTCAACCTACTTTGATACCATGTAAAATTGTGTGAACCACCTCAAGCTAATGAGCTATCACAAGAAAGCAAGTTCAGTTGAAGGGTCCACCTTTTGTCAGAGGTGGAATTGTATTTGGAGTAAAAAAAGAAAGGCTTAAACTATCAAATAAGGGACAGTTTTATGTATTGAATATAGGTCTGCAAACAGCCCCCTACTATCAGCTGAACCAACAAACCCTTCACAAGGCTTACTAGACCTAAATGTCGGCTCACGACCCCTGGTCAGCGGAGGACTGGCTAGGAAGGTCCGTTCATTTTAGAAAATACTCCTCACTCTTTAGTAAATTAACCAAGTCGGATGGCATGAAGCCATCCAATTATGCTTCAAGCTAACTAAAGAAATTTCATTAAATAGCAATTGAGCTTCAGGAACATTTTAGCAGTGGATTGATTTGAAGGAACTAGAGAACACCAAAATCTGGAAGATAGATACAGGAAAAGAAAGCATGAATCGGGAAAGAACTAAGCACTTTGAATGGACATGAACCAGACAGCTCTTATGGAAAAAAGCTCCAGAGCAGAACTGAAGACAGAGAGGAGAAAAAGGAATTCATTTCCTGCTGCCATTTCAGCTCTTCTTCCCTTCTACTGTACAACATGCAGACAGAAATCTATAAACTCCTATAACACAAATACAAAATTGTCACGTGCAAGTGAAGAAGACAAAGACCTACCCGGTCATAGCCACCCAATCTGATCACAGATCTCCATAACCTATCAGCCAATATCATGGAAAGAATCTTATATGTACCTGAAGCAAAATGTAAGATATGCACAATCAAAAAACATTGAACACTTACTTTAGGCAATTAAGTTGATGCCCATAAAACTTAGGTGGTTTAAATTCCATCGCCCTCTCCCTGTAAAAACTTTCTAGTTCTATCATAAATGCTGCTTGGTCCTCGGGTGATCCATCACCACTCCAATCCTCATCTTCATCATCCTCATCCTCCATCTATAATTTACAAAGATTGTTGATCAATCTGGAAAGATGAAGTAATTGCCACAACATTTACAGATTAAACCTTTCCTCGAGTATTAGTGCACGTACCTTTGCTTCATCAAATATTTTATTTGATGCTTCCCCAGTATGCTGTCCAGCTTTTGCAGTGGCAGATTTCACCGGCAAATTTGGAGTTACTGGCTCTGGCATCTTTGCAGTAGCAGTATTCTTAACATCGTCTTTTGTCTCTGACACCTCATTCGATCTCGCATCACCATCAGTGATAACAGTTGCAGTATTGTCTTCCAGTTCCTTGTGTTCATCAACCATCATATCATCCCCATTTTGATGAACCTCTTCGATCGAGTTCTCAGCCTGAGGAAGTTCCTTCACCTCTTTTCCACTCCCATTTACTTCATTAGCAGGTAGCTCCTCATATACCTGCATGTTTACACATCCACTATCATGGTGAGTAGCATTTCCAATAGATTCTTCATTCTTCAAGGCCACATCTGCATCAAGATCGCCTTCTTTTTTATCAATTTCGTTTTCTCCTTCTGTTCGACCGGTAGCATTGTTTTGGTCTAGTGATTCTATTCCAGATCCGTTCTGGTCATCACCTACTGCAATGTCTTGAGTCTCTGGCTGGCTTATAGTGTCATTTTGTTTCGGTGTCTCACTTGCAGCATTCCTCTGGTCCTCCACCTTGCACTTGGCATCAAATTCCTCTACCACACCCTTTGAACCAGTCTGGCCCACTGCCTCATCATTAACATTGCTTTCACTTTCCACTATATTACTAGCGGTCTTCTGCTCTCCGTTCCCATTTTCAGCAAGCATTCGGCTCTTAGCCCCACTCTCAGAGTAGTTATTTTGATCTTGTGTCGCTGGTTTAGCACTGTCTTGGCAGTCCACCAATGACTCGGTGGACTGTTGGCCATCAACAGCAGACCCTTCAGGTTTCAGAGTGGAATTGAGTGTATTAGTTTCAGACTCAGCCATATTCTCAACATCTTGGGCATTCTTCTCGGCATCCTCCATCTCTACGTCACTCTTATCCATTCTGACAACTAATAGCATGCAGCATAGTATGTGTATCAAGAATTACATTCTAGCAATCAGCTCTAAAAACAAGTTCAAATAGCATATTCTACATAATACACCGAAATGGAAATAAAATGAAAAACGAACAAATGAATAAAAGAAAATGAACGACATGCCGGTTCCAAAACAAAACCCTAGTTTCGCCATATAAGATTTATGGGGAAAAAATTCAAAAGGCAAGAAAAAATATTTTGCTCGCTTCTTTTCAAGCATAAACAAGTGCCATCGATCAACACAGACGGAAAAGGTCAAAACTTGTCGCATAAATAAACAGAAAAAATAAAAAAATAAATCATTTCTATGGAAAAAAAAAAGGTGCAACGAAGGGAAGAAAACGCATACCTGGGTGAGGGTGGTGACGACCAGAACTCAAAAGAACCGGAATGAGCGTCTAGGGTTTGGTTTCCGTCGGAGATTAAGGAGAAATGTATTATCTATGGCGTATAAACCGCAATGGCCCAAAAAAGGAATTATAATTATAAATAAATAGTAATAAAAAGGAGTGGGAAGGGTATTTAAGAAGGGAATTGAAGTTTAACAAGGAAGGTAGTAGAGGTGGATTGTTTTGATACGACGAGACGATAGCTGAGTATTTGAATTTCTGTAAGTCTCAACACAACTCCGGGCTCCGAGGGAGAGAGACACACAGAGAGAGAGAGCCTCTGTTTCTGCGTTTTAGTAAGATTCAAACCAACGCCCAACGGGATTGGCTCAACCGCTTAACACCTAGACAATCACCATTTATCATTCCGACTATTATTACTTTCATAATCTTTTTGTATTTTTTTTAATACAGTCATGTTATTTATGTTAGTGCTGTATTTGTAAACTAATTCAATTCAAACCCGGAATTTACAGTGTTTCCTTAAGGAATTTAATCTCCTCCTAGTACCCAAGGTTATGGATTATTTCCTCCCAGGATACAACGAATTACACACTGGTATAGTAGTACTCAGAAAACAAAAAGTTCAGTAGTAAATCACACTTACTGTTGCTTTCTTTGAAGTTAAAACAATACAGAAGAAGGAGGAGAAACTCAGAAAATTGTATGAAAATTCTGAGAGAATAGACTTGTATTTATAGCCAAAGTTGGGCTGAAATCTGAAGAGGTGCAACTCTTCAAAATCACTGTTTATGCAAAACAGCCATAGCATTAATGTCATAACATAAATGGCTATTTACTCAATAATAAAGAGGGAAAATTGAAGAAGGTAGTTTAATTTTCAGTTACACAACTGAAAAATGGAAAACTGATTGGATTTAATATTAATATTTATTTTCAGTTACACATTTCACACTTACATAGGTGATTCCTAAACGTGTCATCCCGTAGATACACTATTTGATATGCCCCGTATCAAATTTAGAAATCATTGAAAAATCTTAATGTTTTATCCTTGGTACTGAACATTGTCTCATCTCGATAATGGACCAAAATTTTAGTTGACAATGTTGAACCGTCATTAATGACTTTGTTTGATCTCCTTAAACCTAGATTTTAGGATCTACAGTCTTCTAGATAGAGTTACTGCCACTATGACTTGTTCTCGGCCATAGTCTCATTTCCCTTGATGATTTCTCAACTATCTCTCTAGTTAGGGCTTTTGTAAGTGGATCCAACACATTTTCACTTAACTTTACATAGTCAATCATGATAATTCCTCTAGAGAGTAATTGTCTAACGGTTTTATGTCTTCGTCGTATATGACGAGATTTACCGTTATACATAACGCTCTCAGCCCTTCCAATTGCTGCTTGACTATCGCAATGTATGCACATTGGTGCCAACGGTTTAGACCAAAATAGAATGTCTTCCAAGAAATTTCGGAGCCATTAAGCTTCTTCATCGGCTTTATCTAAGGCTATGAACTCAGCCTCCATTGTAGAGCGGGCAATACAAGTTTATTTGGACGACTTCCAAGATATCGCTCCTCCACCAACAGTGAATACATATCCACTTGTGGACGGTGATCCAATTTGCATCACAGTATCCCTCGATGAACGTAGGATATTTATTGTAGTGCAAAGCAAAGTCCTGAGTATGTTCTAAATATCCCAAAACTCGTTTCATTGCCATCCAATGAGATTGACCTGGATTGTTCGTCTATCGACTCAATTTACTTATAGCACAAGCTATATCTTATTGTGTACAATTCGTGATGTACATTAAGCATCCCAACACACGAGCATAATCCAATTGTGATATGTTTTGGCCTTTGTTCTTTGATAATGCAAGATTCACGTCAATTGGAGTCTTTGTAACTTTAAACCCTAAGTGCTTGAATTTTTCAAGTACTGTCTTAATATAATGAGATTATGACAATGCCAGACCTCGAGGAGTCTTATGGATCTTAATCCCCAGAATTAAATCAGTAACTCCCAAGTCTTTCATATCAAACTTGCTTTTTAGCATACGCTTAGTAGCATTCATGTTGGCAATGTCATTACTCATTATCAGCATATCGTCCATATATAAGCAAATAATGACTATATGATTTGGAATATTTTTAATGCACACACATTTATCACATTCATTTATCTTAAAACCATTTGACAATATTGTTTGGTCAAATTTCGCATGTCATTGTTTGGGTGCTTGTTTTAGTCTGTAAAGGGACTTAACAAGTCTACATACCTTCTTTTCTTTACCTAGAACCACAAACCCTTCAGGTTGTTCCATGTAGATTTCTTCCTCCAAATCTCCATTCAAGAAGGTCGTCTTAATGTCCATTTGATGAATTCAAGACCATACACCGCAATTAATGCTACTATCATCCCTATGGACATAATTCTTGTAACTGGAGAGTATGTATCAAAGTAGTCAAGACCTTCTCGTTGTCTATACCCTTTGACTACAAGTCTTGCCTTAAATTTATCAGTAGTGCCACCATCTTTCATTTTTCTCTTAAAAATCCATTTAGAACCCAAAGGTTTATTTCCAGAAGGAAGATCAACCAATTCTCATGTATGGTTGTTTAATATGGATTCTATTTCACTATTGACTGCCTCTTTCCAAAACAATGATTCCGAAGAAGTCATAGCTTCTTTAAATGTTTGAGGCTCATTCTCCAATAAGAAAGTCACAAAATCTGGTCCAAATGAAGTAGACGTTCTTTGATGTTTACTACGTCTTGGATCCTCCTTATTAAATGTACTTTCTTTTGTTTCTTCCCGGGATCATTTAGATCCTTCACCAATCGACTCACATTCCTTTTTATACGGATATATATTTTCAAAAAATTCAGCATTATCTGATTCTATAACCGTATTATTATGAATGTCGGGATTTTCTGATTTATGAACCAGAAATCGATATGCTTTACTATTGGTCGCATATCCTATGAAAACACAATCAGCTATTTTTGGTCATATTTTCACCCTTTTGGGTTTAGGAACTTGCACTTTTTCCAAACACCCCTACACTTTAAAATAATTCAAGTTGGGCTTCTTTTCTTTCCATTTTTCATATGGAATGGATTGTGTTTTGTTATGGGGTACTTGATTTAGTATTCATCTAGCCGTAAGAACGGCTTTCCCCCACAAGTTCTGTAGTAAACCAGAACTTATCAATAATGCGTTCATCATCTCCTTTAATGAACAATTCTTTTTTCTGCAATCACATTGGATTGGGGTGTGTAAGGGGCCGTTGTTTGATGAATAATTCTATATTCTAAACATATTTGTTCAAAAGGAGATTCATATTCATCACTCCTATCACTTCTTATCATTTTGATTTTCTTGTTAAGTTGCGCTTCAACTTCATTTTTGTATTACTTGAATGCATCTATTGCTTCATCTTTGCTATTAAGTAAGTAAACATAGCAATATCGAGTACTATCATCAATAAAAGTTATGAAATACTTCTTTCTACCACGAGATGGTATTGACTTCATGTCGCAAATATCTGTGTGAATTAAGTCTAAAGGATTTGAATTCCTTTCAACTGACTTATAAGGATGTTTAACATACTTAGATTCCACACACATTTGACATTTTGATTTGTCGCATTCAAATTTAGGAAATACTTCCAAATTAATCATTTTTCACAAGGTTTTATAATTAACATGACCCAAACGTATATGCCATAGTTCATTTGATTCAAGTAAGTAAGACGAAGCTGAAATTTTATTACTTTTTTCAACAACCATTACATTCAGCTTGAAAAGGCCCTCAGTGAGGTAACTTTTTCCTACAAACATTTCGTTCTTACTTTTACAACCTTATCGGAAACAAAAACACACTTAAAACCATTCTTAACAAAAAGTCCAGCAAAGATTAAATTCTTCCTAATCTCGGTAACATGAAAGACATTGTTCAAAGTCACCACCTTGCCAGAAGTCATCTTTAGAAAGATCTTCCCACACCCTTCAATCTTGGCATTTGCAGCATTTCCCATAGAAAGAGTCTCTTCGGGTCCAACAGGAGCATATGTTGCAAAGGCTTCCCTAACAATACAAATATGGCGAGTGGCTCCAGAATCAATCTACCACTCCTTAGGATTTCCCACCAAGTTGCATTCAGAAAGCATAGCACACAAGTCATCAACATCTTCATATTTTTCAACCATGTTTGCTTGACCCTTATTCTTGTCTCTCTTCGGAGCACGGCAGTCCGTAGATTTGTGCCCAGCTTTTCCATAGTTGTAGCAATTTTTGTTGAACCTCTTATTGCTTGGGTTGCTTTTCCGTCCAGAAGCCTGCTTCCTCTTTCTCTTATTTTGAGAAGTACCCTCAATAATGTTTGCTCTCATTATTATTGAGGTTCCACGGCCTCTCATTTCAGCAGCTTTGTTGTCCTCTTCGATTCTCAACTGAACAATGAGATCTTCAAGGGATATCTCCTTGCGCTTGTGTTTCAAGTAGTTTTTAAAGTCCTTCCACAAATGAGGCAACTTCTCAATCATCGCTGCTACTTGGAATGCTTCATTGATGACAAGACTTTTAATGAAAATTCTGTTAGTAAAAATACTAAAATTACTAATTTTCAACATCAATATTAATTCGATTTATACCTTCAGCAAGGAGATCGTGAATAATCACTTGCAATTCCTGGACATGGGTAATAACAGACTTGCTATCTACCATTTTGTAGTTCAAAAACTTAGCGGCAACGAATTTCTTCAACCCATCATCTTGAGTTTTATATTTCTTTTCAAGCGCAGTCCACAATTCTTTTGACGTCTCCACGCCACTGTAGACATTATACAAATCGTCCTCCAGTCCGCTAAGAACATAATTCTTGCACAGAAAATTAGAATGCTTCCACGCCTCAATCATGAGAAAGCGTTCATTCTCTGGAGTTTCATCGGGCAGAACAAGAACATCTTCCTTGATGAACTTCTGCAGACTTAAAGTAGTCAAGTAGAAGAACATCTTCTGCTGCCACCGCTTGAAATCTAACCCAAATTTTTTTTTGGATTTCTCCGCCGGTGTTCGGCTTGTTGATGTATTGGAAATCACCATTGGAACAACATGGCTCCCGTTATCATTAGTCATTTCTGTAAAAGAATGACACAAACAAACGTTAAAATCATGTAGATTTTAATCTCCAATGGAGTAGAAAACCACAAAGGTTTTAAACTCCAAAACAATGAATATAACACAAATATAGAATACAAATTAAACTCCTTAAGTTTGTTAGTGGTATATTTGTAAACTAATTCTGGAAAAAACAGAATAACATATAAACAGAAAATGTAAAGAGATAAAAATCAATTC